GCCGATGCACCAGTGAAGGAGATCCTCCTAGAGGATCCCCTCCCAGCCCTAGTTGCACCTCTTGGATTCGCCTCCAAGCTAAGTGGGTGCGCACCTCCTTGGGACATATGGCCCATGTGGGTGCCACCACTATGCCCAGCCAAGGGAGCAACCTACTATGGTTTTTACAACCATCCGGAAGATTTTCAATACTTCCAAGGGCTTTCCGGGATCTTTCCGGGCCCCTCTGGGACACTCCCTCCCGGTATTACCGACACACTCTGGGAACACTTCTGAAAACATCCGGAACATTTCTGGTACCTTCCTCTCATTCTCCAATGATCTCATAGTACTCTATCAACCACTAAATGTTAAGTGTGTGACCGTGCAAGTTCGGGAATATATGGACATGACCCGGAACACCTTTCGGTCAATAATTAACAACGGGGTCTGGACACCCATATTGATTGCCACATACACACAAAGATCTTTATCGGGTGAACCTTTCATTTCCATACACAATTCGGTTTGCTTCGCCATACGTAACAAAACAAGAGGCAAGACTTTTATCAGTATCCTTGTGAAGCAACTACTTGATCAGAATACCAAGTTATTCTCGTTACCGATTTTGTTCTCTTTTCTCGTTTGCCTATTCCAGTATGCCTGCGATCATTATCATGTTGTGTTAGTTTGGACAACTATGGATACCATAATACCGAGTGGGCCCGGGAAGTATCACTCATCGCCGTAGGAGCAAATCGCAGTCTTGAAGTATTGAGTCTGTTTTTTTACGTACCTAAAAGTTACCGTTATGATGCACCGTTTTCACATAAGATTTGGCAACCCCAAAGTAATCGTATGGTATGAAAGTTCACGATATTCTCATGGTTTAAGTACGTGAGTATACGTTAACACATAATATGACTATGCCAGTAACGGGTGACGATGCGATCTCGTGGTATATCATAAGTATAGTGCACTAAACACAAAATTAATTGAACCAATGGAGGAGTCACATACCAAGGAGCAATCCCTCAGAAAAATCAGAAACGATGCTACAAGCAAAGAGATCAAAGAATGTTCGCAAACCATCAACAACACGAGCTAGAAAATTTCATGGAATTTTTCTGGAGGTAGGAGAAGATGGGGGGGCATGGGCACGGGGGCCTTGTGGGCCCCATAGGCCACCCCACGCGGCAATCGGGGTTTCTGGAAATTTTACTTTTGCACCTTTATATTGTGTAATGAAACTTAACTAAAAAAAATAATGGAACTGAAGTAGGTGTTCGTGGAATTCACTGATCATATGTTTCTTTCCAGAAAGAACCCATTCATAAGGTTGATCAAGTATTATTAATAAATTATTTTTGATCAAGATAAAACCTAATAACTTCATATAACACGCATGCTATGTCTGCTGGGAATCGTTGTATGGAAAACAAAAAAAATTCTACGCACACGCAATGATCTATCCATGGAGATGCATAGCAATGAGGGGAAGAGTGTGTCTACATACCGTCGTAGACCGTAAGCGGAAGCGTTTCACAACACGGTTGATGTAGTCAAACTTCTTCGTGCTTCAACCGATCAAGTACCGAACGCACAACACCTCCGTGTTCTGCACATGTTCAGCTCGGTGACGTCCCTCGCCTTCTTGACCCAGCAAGACGTCGAGGTAGTAGATGAGTTCCGTCAGCATGATGGCGTGGTGACGGTGATGGTTAAGTGATCTCCGCAGGGCTTCGCCTAAGCACTACGTAAATATGACCGAGGGTGTAAACGGTGGAGGGGGGTGGCGCACACGGCTAGGCAATTGTCTGTTGTGTGCTAGCCCCCACCCACATATATATAGGTGGGAGGGGGAGGGGGAGGCCAGGAGGCGCCCCAAGTAGGACCGAATCCTACTTGGGCTCCTCCCAAGCTGCACCCCCTGCCATATATGTCGGAGGGGGAAGGAAAGGGGGGAAGAGGGAAGGAAGGGGGAATCCTATTCCACTCTTTCCTTTCCTTTCCCTTCTCCTCCTAGGCCGGCCCGTATGGGGGCGCACCAGCCCCTTGTGGCTTGTGCGTTTCCCCTCTTGGCCCATAAGGCCCATATCATTTGCCGGGGTGCCCGGAATCCCTTCCAGTGACCCGATAAGTACCCGGTAACCCGAGAAACACTTCCGGTGTCCGAATACCATTGTCCTATATATCAATCTTTACCTCTCGACCATTTCGAGACTCCTCGTCATGTCCGTGACCTCATCCGGGACTCCAAACAACATTCGGTCACCAAATCACATAACTCATATAATATTATATCGTCATCGAACGTTAAGTGTGCGGACCGTACGGGTTCGAGAACTATGCATACATGATCGAGACACCTCTCCGGTAAATAACCAACAGAGGAACCTAGATGCCCATATTGGCTCCTACATATTATACAAAGATCTTTATCGTTCGAATTGTCATGACAACATACGTAATTCCCTTTGTCCATCGGTATGTTACTTGCCCGAGATTCGATCGTCGGTATCTTCATACCTAGTTCCATCTCATTCCCGGCAAGTCTCTTTAATTGTTCCATAATACATCATCCCATGACTAAATCCATAGTCGTTTGCTGGCAAGCTTATGATGTGTATTACCGAGAGGGCCCAGAGATACCTCTCCGATACTCGGTGTGACAAATCCTAATCTCGATCTATGCCAACTCAACAAACACCTTCGGAGATACCTGTAGAGCATATTTATAATCACCCAGTTACATTGTGACATTTGATAGCCCACAAGGCATTCCTATGGTATCCGGGAGTTGCATAATCTCATAGTCGAAGGAATATGTATTTGACATGAAGAAAGCAATAGCAATAAAACTGAACGATCATTATGCTAAGCTAACGGATGTGTCTTGTCCATCACATCATTCTCCTAATGATGTGATCCCATTGTCAAATGACAACTCATGTCTATGGTTAGGAAACCTTAACCATCTTTGATCAACGAGCTAATCAAGTAGAGGCTCACTAGGGACACGATGTTTGTTTGTGTATTCACACATGTATCTAGATTTCCGATCAATACAATTCTAGCATGAATAATAAACCTTTATCATGAATAAGGTAATATAAAATAACAACTTTATTATTTCCTCTAGGGCATATTTCCTTCAGTCTCCCACTTGCACTAGAGTCAATAATCT